TTATTTACGCTAATAAATTCTTTTCAACTTTATAATTTTGTTTACATAGTCAGGCACAGGTATAAAACCATAAAGCAATGATCACCATGGTCACCACTGCAACATTTGCATAGCTTCAGAACACAAAACATGTGAATGCAGCAGAAGACAACAATGGCTGACGTACATAATAATGGCCCAAAAGACAAATAGGGATCCATTGGCACTGGTCCACACTATATTGTGTCTTTGGTACCGCAGATTCATAGCTGGTCACTTATCACGGTTTGTGTCCTTTGTGTTATATGAGCCATTTCTTCTATTATTGCTTTTAGCCACGTTTTGAATTTTTCCTCAATGACCCATTTTTTCCGCATCTAATATCTAAAATTGTCTCATTTATATTTTCACCCCTTGATACTGAGCGTCACGTGGAGGCATGGGCTCTGGATTTCACTATTCAAAAACTAGACTATGGAAGACTTATGGGTTTATTTCTTCACTTTGCCACAAATGTAAAAGATTGGCTCTTCTTTTCTGGTTTTGTCCTGCTCTACAGAGCTTTTGGTCTTTCTGATGTACATGCTTGCACCCTGAAATAATAATAATAATAATAGTAATAATAATAATAATAATAATATACACCGATCAGGCATAATCGGTCTATATTATTAGGACCCCCATGGACCCTCACAGAGCAAGTACTGTTTGGGTGGTGGATCATTCTCAGCACTGCAGTGACACTGATGTGGTGGTGGGTTAGTGTGTGTTGCGCTGGTCTCAGTGGATCAGACACGGCAGTGCTGCTGGAGTTTTTAAACACCTCAGTGTCACTGCTGTACTGAGAATAGTCCACCAACCAAATAGTACCTGCTCTGTGAGGGTCCATGGGGGTCCTGACCACTGAAGAACAGGGTAAAAGGGGACTACCAAAGTATACAGAGAAACAGATGGACTACAGTCTGTAATTGTAGAACTACAAAGTGCACCTATATAGTAAGTGGAGCTGATAAAATGGACAATGAGAGTAGAACTAAGGAGGTGGTTATAATGTTATGCCTGATCGGTGTAGATTCTGAAGTTTCAAGCAATACCAGATTTGTGTTTGTAAGTAGAAAAAAAAGATAATGTACTAAGATTTGCGTTTGCTAAAAAGGTATTGTTGTGCATACAGTCTTTTGTACAGTCATTTCTGACATCAAAATTAAGGGAAAACTGTTGGAAGTGCAGGCTCAAATCTGTCAAGTCTCCACATGCTGAGTTAGAAAAAGTGATTGAAGCTCACATAATACAGAAACAAACTGGTTAATCAAAGGTAGTGTTCTCACACTTCGTCCCCAGCTGCCTATAATGAGCTGCTATTCTGAGAGGGAATCGACTGTCAATCAATGAAGGCCAATCAAAGGCGAAAGCACTTGAACCAAACTTTAAAAAACATGCACACAGAATGTTCTGTTTCATTTCCACCACCTACAGTCAGGAGAAGCCAATAGCCGCAAATAAAGTGACAGAGACAGCACATCCATAATTGCTGTAAATTAGCTCAGACTCAATAGGAGCTATTACATAACACAGATATTTATTCCTGGAATAAATCAATAAATCAAGAGTCCCTATGTGCACAGTTCTGTTTCAGTTACACAACTCAACACTCTCATGACAACGGCACGAGACACAGAGTCGATGTCCCACCATACCAGACAACACAAAGTAGTTCATAAGCAGTTCATTATTTCCACTCTCGCAATAAGAGTAAGACTCTGAAAAAACATCATCAGAGAGAGAAAAGAAGCTCTTTAAAATGATAGTTTTACTCAAATTGTCCTCTTTCCCCAGACACAGTAAGTCAAGACATTTGGTTCAGACATCCAAGGTTATAGTGCCATGCTGCAATGCTACACCAGCACATCACTCTAATGCAAACCCAATTCTAAGTTGGAACAGTATGCAAAATGCTAATACAAACAGAGATTTATAAATTCTGTTTGACCTGTATTAAACTGAAAACAGTACAAAAACACAGTACTTTATGTTGTACCTTATGTACTTCATCGTTTTTGGTAAATATGAGCTTATTCAAATTTGTTGCCTGCAGTTGGGATAGGAGCATGTTTACCACTGTGTTACATCACCTCTCCTTTTAACAGCACTTAATAATTAATTGTTTGGGGACTGAAGACAATGATTGATTCAGTTTGAAAGTAGAACTGTATGCCATTCTTCTGTTACGCAAGTTTTCAGCTGAGCAACCACACCAGTCCTTCGTTGTTGTGTTTTTGCACGTTTTCAAAGAGAGACAGTTCTGGACTGCAGACAGGCCAGTCTAGCGCCCACACTCTCTAAATATGCCGCCAAGCTGTTGTAACTTGCAGAATGTGGCTTGCCATCATCATGGTGAAATAAGCATGGACCTGCTTAAAAAAGAATGTTGCTCTAAATGTGTTCAGCGTTAATGGGGCCTTCACAGTGCTTAGTTACACACTAATATCCCCCATACCATGTCAGACCCTGTCTTTTGAACTTTATGCTGGTAACCATCCGGTCCTTTTCTTCTTTGGCCCAGAGAACACAACATCCATTATTTCCATAAACAATCTGAAAGACTGACTCATCTGACCACAGTACACGTTTCTACTGGGTATCAGTTCATTTCAGATGAGCTTGAGCCCAGAGAAGTTGGTAGCGTTTCTGGACACTGTTGACATATGGCTTCCCCTGTGAAAAGTTCAGTCTTAACTTGCATTTGTTGATGCAGTGATGAACACTGTTTTATTAACCACGCTTTGTCAAAGTATTCCTGAGCCCATGTTTGCTTCTTTAGTTTTTGCACTGGAGCAGCGAGGCTAGTGTAGCTAACTGCATGCCTAAATCACCAGCCTATTGTCTCAAACTAAATTGAGTTGTTAAGTAATCTCAGACTTACAGGTGTGGTTTCCAGCACTGAAAATACCTATAAAATCTATGGTCTATAAAAACGGACAAAAGTATGTCACACAGCTAAAAACAGCAGCAGCATCTTGAAACCTGAATTTTGTCCATACTTGTCATCCTTTATTCTCATAGCTCCAGTGCAAAACTAAAGAAGCAAACTTACGATACCAGACAACTTCATCTGGGGTAAAAGGATCACTGTGTATGTTGCTTTAAGCACAGGATTAAAAGAAAAAAATCTGACCTGTAGGAGAGTCTGGGTGGTGAAATCCATTCCAGGATCATACCATGTGAAGAGATAAGAAGAGAGAAATCTAGATTAGATGCTGAAGTATAACGTTCAGCTGATATTACATTCATATACAATCACACAGAAACACAATCACGCAGTCTGAAGAGTACAAGGACCAGTGTTAGCTGTATTTTTGGATTGCGTAGGTGTAACTTAAAGCTGGCAACTCTGAACTGAATATACATTCAACAGCCAGTAGCTATACTAGGAGTTACACTATACATCCAAAGTATTCAGACACGTCTACTAATTTAAGGTGCACTCTTTTGCTGGCACAGGTGTTCAACTGTGCACGCAGCTTGTATGATCTCCATTGAAAAGCACTGCCAGTCAAATAGGATGCAGAGCAGCCGCACTTGAGCCTAAGGTCACCATGTTTATGCCAAGCGTCAGCTAAAGGGGTATAAAGCTCAGCATTGAGCTGTGGAGCAATGAAACTGTGTTCTCTGGAGTGATGGAGCTCCATCCAATACCTTTGGGATGAGTTGGAGTGATCCCAAACTAATTATTCATCATCAGTACCTGACCTCACTAATGCTCTCATGGGGAAATGCAATCAAATCCTCACAGCAATGTTCTAACACCTAATGTAAAATCTTCCCAGAAGAGTAGAGACTGTTACTGGAACAAAGCAGGAACCAACTCCCTATTCATGCCCTTGATTTCAGAGGAAACGTTGGATGAGAAGGTGTCTACATACTTTTGGACATACCGTATATAAGATGCGATCTAAACACAAATGAGATGTTTTTAAGCTTTCCAGCAGATGGTAGAGAAGTCGTAAGAGACGGCCGTGACGGGTCGTTCAAAACTGGAACAGACTTATTTGACAGCTCCCAGGATCAAAGCCCCTATTAAAACTTTGTTAAGCAAACTTCAATGGACTCTATTTTCAGCCTGTCCCAAATATACCCGCATCCCGTCTGCCGCTCTGTATCTTTTTAAGAGTGCCACTGGGAGTTTTCAGGACAAAAAGAGCTTTTCTATACCTGGAACATGTCAGAGTCAGAAAAAAAGCAACAAGCAGGAAACAATGAGGGAAGCTAAGAATAAACTTAAAAGCATCTGTCCCCCAGGCTTGCAAATAAATTACTGTCCTCATGTACTACTTATTTAGATTTACCTGCCATGAAAAACACACAGCCTATGAAGTACCACAAGTTAAGAACTTTAAGTTTCTTTCTTCTGCTTGGAATGTTTTTCTTTTTGATTGTGGTTTTGTTATGCAGTCATTATCCTGAAATAGAAATTCTGCTTCCAAATGTTCATGGCAGAGTTGTTGGAAAGACGTGAGAAAGATGTTTATGAATAGATCAGGACACACATGGAGTCAATAACACGCTTTTAAAGCATCGTTGAACCAAGTAACCAATAAAATCTGAGATTGGTGAGCTCGTTAGACGTCTCTAAAGGCATTCAACTGTTTTTCAGACAGAAAGATTTCATTATTTTCTTGTAAAACTAGCTGTATTAGGCAAACTAGCAAGCATCAGTTTGTCAATGTGGACCATTTTCTTCCCGCATCAAACTACCATGCAAATCAGCATAAACAATGGATAGTGTGTTTTGCTGAATGGTGGGTTGTTTGCTCTATTACTTTGCATGTAGAGATCTACCATCTTTGTTGGTGACATTTCTTTCCCTGAGTTTTGCACTGTATGTAAGGTTTACTTTCAATTTATGTGTTTTTTTATGAGTATATCCCTTTATCTACAATCATTTTATCTACTTTTTGGACTAGTATCTCCCATTACAGTGTATAAGTATTTACTGAATGATGTAGTAATTACTGTAATACTGTAGTACTGTACTGTCAAAAATAACAATCATGCAAATTACAAAAGGTATAAATGGGCTCTCAAGTGTTGCAGCTTTCTTAAGCGCTTCGTAAGACCCTATTGTTCGGAAAACGCAAGTTTGATCCCTGGTGATATCACAGCCATGGATGGTCACGAGTCCAAGAGATCCTCCCTTTTCCCCCATCACTGTTTGTGTTAGCTGATGTAACAAAATTGGCAGCTAGTGTTCTCCTCCAAGCATGTTGAGCTGTCCAGTGATGCTGTGTTAGCAGCACTTTGAAAAGATGTGGTTATTCTTCACATGACTTAGAGGAAGCACATGCCAGCCATAACCCTGCTTGGTGGCATCAGGTGATGAGAGAAGACATAGCTAGCAGGTGGAAATTGGTCACACTGCAAAATTTTACACTCTAAACTTATTTAACTTCTTTTCACATTAAAGTTTTTTACCCAAATTTTACCATTTTTCACAGAATGTTTTATTTTATACTGATATCTACTGAAAACATTTAATCTTATATCTCATATTTCTCATTTCGAGACTGGTGTAAGAATATTATACAATTATTTAACTTATTTTTAGACATTTTCACTTGTTTTAAGTCATTTTATCTATAGAAATTGTCTTATTCTACTGGCCTGCTTTTTTCAAGCATTATTTCATGATGAAATTCATGAAATTTATGAAATTCAAATATCAAATACATTAAATACATCAGATTTAAGATGCCAAGATGTCATTTTTGCTGTGAACGCTAAAATGTTGGTAAAATTGGGTAAAAAAAGTAAAAAATGTTATAAAGAGTTTGAAATGTGAATGTTATCTCTGGTGCAGATTAAGGCATAATCAGATCTCAGCTTATGCCTTAAATGTAAAAATGCTGAGTCCTGATTTTCTACACCAGACAACAAAGGTATCAGCATCTTAAAACTCGTAGTTCTGCCTGAAGTCAACTGTTGGCTTTGGCAGGCTAAGTATAGCGGCAGTTGCCACTAAGCCTACAGTCCTAAGCCAAAGTCACACAGTCATTCAGGGGATTCCGGTCTCTCTGCATGTCCTGACTGACATCTGCATACCACATACACAGTACAATATAAAGACATTTAACTTTAACCCTTAGAAGTCGCAGCAAGAATAAAAGCAAGGTGTATTTTATATTTCTCAATTGTATACATTGCTATAGCTTAATAAAAATAAGCAGAGAAATTCTTTAAGCAGAGTGAATTTGCTGCCAATTGATACCAGATTTGTGCTTGTAAGTAGAAAAGTGGCTAATTTAATTTAATTGATCTCAGGAAAAGTAATTACTGTGCAAACTATCTAAATAATATAACAGTAATAATATTAGATTTCTAGGGTTGGGGAAATAGTATGAAGTACAGTATGCACGTGAGAAAGAGTGAAAGAGGGTGAAATGCTATGCGTACCCGCTGCTGTATTGTGGCATGTTTGTGCTCCATATCTCTCTTCTCCATCGCTGAATCAATCACCAGCTGATCCAACTGCAAATACCAGACGACTTCACTTTTAAGTGTGTTGGTATAAGACATTATGGTTTTCATTCCGTGTCTTTCAGTGCTTGGTGCAAGTTTGCTGTATTTTTTGTTACATCATGAGTAATTTAAGAATTTTGGTTGTTGATTTACTCAAACAACAAACCAGTAACTGCCAGTGCTTAAAGCAAACATTTGTTGAAAAGTCAGATTTGCACAATTTCCCCTTAGTGGATGGGAATCAGCCATGATTAAATCTGGAGAAAAAATGATTATGGAAGCCCATTCCATCCAAATAAATTTTTTTTTCCTTTCTCCATTTCTTTCAGCATTGTCTCAGAATTTTAATTACGTATCTCAAAATAAATACTTATTATGCCAAAATAATGACTTAATATCTCAAAATAATGACTTACTATGTTAAGACTCAGCATCTCAAAATAATGCCTATTTTTCTCAAAATGTTCACAGTGTCTCAAAATAATGACTTAGTTATCTTAAAATAATGACCTAGTATCTCAGGAAAATTACTTACTATGTGGAAATAATTACTTATTTTCTCAAAATGCTGACTGAGTATCTTGAAATAATACTTATTTTCTCAAAATGTTGACATGGTTTCTCAAAATAATGACTCAGTATATTGAAATACAGACCTATTATCTTGTAATAATGACTTATGTCTGAATTATCTGTTTAATTACCATGTCAGAATAATTCCTTATTTTCTCTAATTACTGATTTACTTTGTCAAAATAATGAGTTAGCACCTTGTAATAATGATTTATTATCCAAAATTAATTACACACATTCTTGAAGGTTAACAGCTCATTATTTTAACATAGTGCAAAAAAAATAATGATTAAAAGACACTAATTCAATATTCGGACACAGTGCTGCCAGAAACAGGAACAAACAAAAGAATGAATAAATAAAAACAATCAATCAAAAGTAGGGTCCATGCCATCCAATTAGTTACTATTTGGATGGCTTGGACCCTACTTTTGATTGAAAGCGAAAACAATCATTATGTAGATATTAGTCACCTCAGCAGCGAGCTTCTTCATGTAGGGGTCAATCTCATCCAGGAGGTGATAGCCCTGCTGAAAGAGTGAATACTGCGCATGCATGAACGACAGCATCTGTGGAGAGAAGAGGACAAGAAGAGGAGATTTGTACAGATATGCAATTAATGATGGAAAGAGAAGATGCTTTGGCATGTTTCAACTAACGTAGTTCTTTGTGGCACTTACTGCATCTAAGATCTCAAATTTCTTCTTGGCTTGAAGGACGTTGATCTAAGGAGAAGAAAGACAGTGAGTTAAGAGTCGTCCACTGCAGATACGGAGATGGCTTACAATACTTCTACACTCCAATGAATAAAAAACAAAACCTGAACACATTTTAAAAAATTACAAATGAGGCAATCACGATCCCACACTGTTGTAATTTTATATGAATTATTTCTCACTAGTAGCTCAAACGAAACAAGCAGAGAAATTCTGTGAACTTTCAACTGATACCGCATTTGTGTCAGATCTGGTGTAGTAAATGTTTTATTATGATTTGAATTTGATTGAAAGTTATTGTTGTGTGAACAGTCTTGCTTTGCGGAAGGAAAAATCTTTTTTGACACAAATGGAAAAAAGTCTGACATGCAGACATGAAGCTGTTAATACAGAATGTAACTTGAATGTTAATGTAAAACTTTGCTACGCCCTGCATAATTAAATTTGAATAGCACAGCAAAATGAAGATCTGGTTAAAAAAGTCATCATAATACTCAATGGGGAACCCACATGGCCCGACTGAAAATTGTCCAATCTGGATTTTTTCTCTGTGGTATCTAGGTAGATATGGCCAAGCCAGTTCTCTCATTGGTTAGGCCTTCAGGAGTGAACTGAAGGCCTTATCTGTGATCATCTACTAACATAGTTAGAAAGGAGAGCAGAATCAACCAAACATGTTTTGTTTTATAATGGGTCAGACCAATTTTGTGAGAAAAAATTTCACTCTCTGCCTTTTGGAAGTTCTAGATACATTATATACGAGCGGAATATACAGGTTTCAGTCAATTGTCAGAAAAATCAGGGCTCTTTACTTAGTCACCATAAAACTGCTATATAAAAGATACAAAAAATTATTATGTCTTTAACAAGCTTCAAATGTCCATGCTTGAAATGGCAATCTGAAGGCCTAGCTCTGATAGTGATGGCTTGTCACTGATAATACTACACCAGCTGTGTATCAATTGACTTTCTGTGCAAACTGCAAGCAATAAAATGAAAATGCATTTAAAAATATGTGCAAATGCGTTATATTTATTATAAAATAAACATGTTTGTTTCCACAACAATAAATAATTTTATTGTTAAGGTTGAACAGAAAAAGTTTTGTCGACATTCATTAAATACTACATTTGCCTTTTCCATAACTTGGATTCGACAAACTTTTGTGAACGTTTTTCTGTGGAAACGTCGCTACTAGGTTCCCCAAATTTCCTTTCATTATTCATGATGTGAAGAACAGACAGTAAAGGACAATAACTGACTAATATGAGTATGGATGTTCTGTAAGACTTGTGTGTGCTGCATGCGTTACCTGAAGCACGTAGTCTAGTGCTAGATGGCGGAAGCACTTGCGGGTGATGTTGAGAGTGCTGGTGGCCTCCTCCACCTCATGGGGTTTGTTCCTGGGCGCCTGAGCATTCTTCACCTGTGCAATCTCCAAATCCTCACGCACCTTATCAAAGTGCTTCTTCGTCTCCTTAAACTTTCGCACATCTCTGAAACACACGGTCGGGGAGTTTTTATTTTAATGGGAAAATTTAGCTGAAGGAACAGATTGTTGAAAAACCTAAAGTGCTCAATTTCCCCCTTATCCCAAATGTAGTTGATCAGCCAAGACAAAAGACTTTTGAAAAGAAGTTTGTTCCCCACTTGAGCTACAAGGCTAATGGAGCTTAGAACCCACTAAGCAAACTGCATGCCTAAATCACAACACATTTGTCTATATCGTTATAAAATGGACGAAAGCATGTTGCATAGCTAAAACTAGTACAGAGCAGCCAGACTGAAGCCTGAATTTTGTCTGTACTTTTGTCCATTTTTATAGATAACTGTGACATATAGCGTCAGAAACAACATGAGCAAGTCTATTTAGGATAGCTTGATAACTCGAAACTGTTTGAGGCAAGTGCTTTGTGATTTAGGTCACAGTTTGCACAATGCCAATTGCTAAATATGCTTTAAGTTTCCATTATATGTCCACTGCTGTATATGGAGTAAGGGGGAAATTGTACATTGGATTTTTGGCACCATGAATAAGGTTTCTAAAAATGATTGACAGAGCATAGGGTAACTCTACTTGAACGCTGCTACATAACATTAATTAGTTTACATTAATTAGTATTTACATTTCATAATTAAGCAGATTTTTAAGTACGTACGGTTCTTTACTGCAGTTCAAGGCAAAGCGATAATTTAAACATTTTAAACATTGTCCAGATTAAAAAAAATCACTGTTCTATCTGAAGACACAAATACTAAATTCTCAGTAGTTTTCTTGGATTCTGTTAATCACCTCTTTTTTTCATTAGTGATCTTGACACAACACATTTTATGTTATACAATATCTTCACGCTTTGGGAGCATTTTACATGTTTTTGTTTATTTAACTACGGAGGCATATAGTGTTCACATACACCAGTTCAGCCTGTATTGCTATAATAAATGTAAGCAACTGCTTTTGGTGGGGTTTTCACTAAATAGCCATAAACAGCTTTAGTTTTAATCTGCTCCCTGTCCAGGTGTGACCCCGCTCTGCTCTCCAATCTCCTCCACACTGCATTAAGACTGGCTGTCGCCTTCAGCACTGCACTTCAGAATGGACATCACAGCACTCAGAAGCTTCCGACAGCACCTGGGAATCTTGCCAGAACCCCCATTTTGCTAGGTTTGTCAGGGTTCAGTATAAAGTCCTAACCTATACTCTTTGTGCCAATTATGTGCCAATAAAAATGTATTTTTGATGCATGTAGGCTTCTTGAATGTCTTTTTTTAGACACAATATAGGCTGTTCTTGCTTAACATGTGCACTGTTACAACAGAGTCTTATCCTAGTCACATAACCACAAAACATATCAGCTTCATAGTAGTTACCGAATAATCTTAAGTGTGGTAACTAGACATTTATAATTAACACCTTATTGTAGCCAATACCAATATCAATAACCTTCTGTCTTGCCCAAGGACTGTCATTGCGGTGTTCTCTTTTTGCTACCACAGTGATCTGTTTCATATATGCAGTGCACTTGCCTGGACAAGGATATGAGCCCCTTTGTGTATGGAGCTGTGGCTTTATCCATTATGCTATTCATTTTTGTGAGTTTAAAGGGCCCATATCACAAATAGCTTTTTTTGAAATAAAAGAGTTTGAGAGCTAACATAACACAAAATTAACATATCATTTAACTCTTACAGTTAAGATGGACCGCTAGCTATCACACTGTTGTGCATTAAGTTAATCTCTTATAAGAGGATCCTAACACAAAGCGTATAGCTATGCTACAAACAACAATGTAATAAACTTAAATAACTTGTTTGCTCTGAGTTTTGGCTGGGACTCTGAGCAGAAGGACAGCAGTCACTTTATGTAAGGGAGATAAATGTGAGTAGCTGACATATACTGACATATATTGCTAACTCTGATTGGTACTTTGGCAGATCTGACATCACCTACACCAAATTTAGTCCAATCCAAGTCAAATCAAACAGAAGAAAACGACAGAAAAAGCCACTTTAAAAATCTCCCAGAAAAAACCCAACTGCATTCTTTCTCCGCCACTTCATTGTAAAGATATCACCGAAACTATGAATACTAGTTACTAGTTATCATGAATACTAGTTTGAAGAAAATCATGAAAATGAGTAGACAGGGGCTTTAATACAGCTGATTCATAACAGGCACTTCATACTACATGTGGGAAAATATCTGTGATGACAAACTGCACATATACTGACCAAGAAACACACAGAGCTGCCTTTATCACTGTGAATACTTACTCTTTGACAAAGTTATGCAACTGCTGCTTCACAGATCTCTGAGCCTGGTCAAACAGGATCTGAAACACAGAGAGCAAGCATGATGAGCAATCATCACTTTTACTAATAAAAACCACATAATTCTTACCTTTTAAATGGCATACATTATCAACATCATGCTAATTTCACAATATAGAGTAATATACAAACAATATTTTGTGAAGAGCGTGACTGTTCTGTTCTGATTCTGTTGTGAAGATGCACTTTCACCAACAGAGGGAGCTCCTGCACTGCTTTCATTGTCATACTAATAAGGATGCAAATCTCTGAGCTCTGAGCATCCCCTCCCATCCACACACACAATATCACTATCTTCCACTCTCTCTCATTCAAATTCAGCTCCACACGCTCTGCACGGAGCTTTCTGCTGATCGCCCGTGCCTTGCTGCAGCGGCTGCTGCTAAAATAGGTCAGTTGGGCAGGGAGGGAGGGAGGGAGAGAGCGAGAGAGAGAGGTACATCTAACAGAAATGAGACAAAGACTGATGACAATAGATAAAAGAACAGAGGGAGAGAGAGAGAGAGAGAGAGAGAGAGAGAGAGAGAGAGAGAGAGAGAGAGAATGGCTACATCAGTGAGATAGCTATCAGTGCTGGCCATTTTATCAGAAACCCCTACCATATAGGTGCACTTTGCAAGTTTACAGTAACTGACTGTAGCCCATCTGTTGTTGCACAATTCATCAGCCCACCTGTACCACATCCATCAATGGAAATGGACCACCACAGCTGCGTGTGGCGCTGGTCCGAGTGTATGAGGCACAGTAGCTTTGCTGGAGATTTTTAAACACCACTGTCACCGCTGGATATTCTGCTAACCAAATATTTCCATTCAACAATGGTCCTGTGGTCAGAAACTGACCACTGTTGAAGGACTGGAGGATAACACAAACTGTGCAGCAACAGATGAGCTACCTTCTCTAAATTTACATCTACAAGTTGGACCAATAAGGCAGTTGTTTCCAAAGTGCAGCTGTGCCTGATATACTCAGAACAGCACAATACACAGTACCATGTCAGTATCACTGCTGTGCTGAGGTCCACCAACATAATAATATCTGGCCAGCCGTGGTCTGATGGTCATGCCCTTCCATTGGTGGATGGGATAGAGGGGGACTGATAAACTGTACAGCAACAGGCTATAGTTATGTAAAGGGCACCTATATGGAAGGTGTTTCTGATAAAATGGCCAATGTCCATATAACATTTGTCAATCGTTAGCACAATATTAGCCCTGCAAGACTGCAATATGCAAATTAGTGTCTAACCAATCACACAATATTGTCGCTGTTGGAACAAAACTTTGGTGACTTTTCAAGAAAACTACTGATGCAAGTTAATGTAAAAAACATTTTATGACCATTTTTATTGGTCCATTTCTCATAAAATGCTCACATAATGTAAAGAGCAGCTGGTGTTTTCAAATGGTATTCAAAAAAGCAATAAAAATGGAGAAACAAGGTTTAGTTTCAAGACTGTCGATTTGTTTCCTATGTGCTATGAGCATCTTGACCTGTCTGTGGGTCTTTTAAAGAACAAACCAACAAAAGTAAATTATTGTGGTCATAATAATACATGGTTTGCATGGTTAAAGTGTTCTTTACAGTGTGAAAGCGGAGAAATGGAGAATGTGCTGTAGATGGTGCTATATAAAACTTTCCTGAAAGGCGTTCTATATAGAACCAGAAAGGGTTCTTCTATTGTTACGGGCTTGACATCTTGACGTCACAACAGCAGAACCCTTTCTCATGCTATTTAGAATCATTTTCAAAAAAGGTTCTTTACAGAACCATCTACAGCACATTCTCTATTAATCATGACCCTTTAGTCATGCAAAAGGTTCTCTGAGTGTTTAGGGTTCTATACAGAACCATTTTCTTTACCAAAGAACCATCTTTTTTAAGAGTGTACTTTAATGTAGTGTACAGCATATTGTAATATCAGTGGAGTACAGTACTGTGGAAATGTCAGGGATCACCCTTTATTTATTTCATTTCTAGTCTAAGTACAAACTATTCCTTTTTTCAGTATGAGGAAAAATGTAGAAAACGTATTTAACAGAAAAGCCTCAACATATAAATTTAATATATACATTTTGACCCCTGTGAAAATGTGCCCACTCTTTTTCTTTCTACAGCTTCCACTCTTTTTGGGACCCTTGCTTTCAGTTTTTCCAACAAATCTGCAGGGATGTTTTTCAGTTTTTCCAGTCGTTCAGTCTTAGAAGTTGGTTGGACTTTCTGCTTTGCATGATCCAAGTAGTCCCAAACACATTCAGTGATGTTGAGGTCTGAACTCTGGGGTGGTCAATCCATTGTTCTGAGAACACCTGCAGCTTCAAATGTTCTTCTTTTTTGTCTTTTATCTTTTTTTCTCAGTAAGAGCTTCTTGACAGCTACACATCCTTTCAGACTCATAGCGCTGAGTTGTCTTCTCACAGTTGAAGGATGGACAGAAACACCTGTGGATTTTCAGATCTGAAGCAAGAGTGGAGCTTGATCTCTCAAAGAAGTACTATTTATTTGATGGTGACAGTTCTGGTGGTCTACCAGGTCTTCCAGGTGGATGTTAGGAGTTTTTTTCTCTGTATCATTTAATCATTTTTTGAACAGTTTTGGAAACTCCTGTTTTTTTACCTTCCTCTTCCTCATGCAAGTGCATGAGGTGCAAGGCTAGTCTCTGACTTTTGCATAGTACCACGTTGTACAGCACTAGCCAGAATCTAGATACATCCAAGACACATTTGAAGTGGATATTAATGAAAATGCTAAGATAAAGGTATGAATTAGCATTTTGCAGTTTGGATTTTGAGCACAGAGGCTATTAAGAACTCCATACTGACTGGCATTTCAAAGTACTAGAATCATGATACCTGCAGCATATTCCAAAAATGAACACGCCTGATGTTAATGCTAACACGACCCACAACATGCTTGGACCGTTTCATCAGCATGAGCAAAATCCCACTGACAGATGTTCAGCATGACAATGCAGATAAAAATATGACCTCCATCAGCTATCTGGGGGCTGCAAAAACAGGCCAAGGCTTTCTGTGATGTTACCCTCAGGTGTGCAGTTGAGCCAAACGCTCTTTAACAACATGGACAGTTTACAACCTCATAAACTCAGGTCCTCTGTAAGGCGAGCAAGACTGAAGAATTTTAATGCCTCAACAAGCTTTTGCTCCTCTCTCATAACGTCAAGGTTGAGTGTGGCCCGATCGGTTTACCAACAAAAGCACCAAGAGAAGATATATAGATCTGTCTGAGCTAAACACACACACACACTCACACACTCTCTGGTCAATGTGATAGTGTTTACTGCATTTAACCCTTTAAAATCTAAAGGCATTATTGTTGTCTTGCTAGTCTCGCAAACAAACCTATCTGCCTATCGTCACAGAATCTGGGGTGTTTCATCACTCAGCATGGCCAATTATACTTTACTGCTATTTGGACAGGACTCATTTTCCATGAGGTGGTGGGGTAATGCAATGCAATGTTTTTTGTGACCAGTTCGCACAAGATAAAAAATCTTGGTATGAATGACGGGTGATGGGAGTGGCTACTTGATTTACGCACTGAATTAATTCCAGAAAAGACCAGAAAACAAATCAAAACATTTAACTTAGCCATTTTTTCGTTCACCCTAACCATTTACCTTGCTATCATAAGTGAATGCAGTGCGTCATCAGCATCATCATTAGCTTAGTTATATATAAAATAAAAATTAAAAAAAAAAAAGTAAAAATTTTTCTGTAATTTTTACGTTTTAATGTTCAGATTGCAACACCTGAAGTAGGACAGTACGTAATATTGATTTTAGCCACAGAAAACAGAAGTAACCGCTTCAAGTGCCCTTCCAGTCCTCCTTTTCCAAAGAATATGGCAGCATTTCACCGACATGTTGATTCGCAGGGGATTAATATAAGCTGAGGTTATTTCTACTGCTCGATTTACAGAAGGTAAAAGGCTTTACTGATGTGGGAGCGTGCAGTCAGTGAAAATGACTGACATGGCATATTAGTACAGGACTAAAACCACTGAGAAAATGACATTACCCCACCTCCCCATGTAAAACTAAACCTGTCTGAACAAGGTTTTTGACAGGAAAGGGTGGTCTGATCGACATGCCAAATAACCAACTACAGGCCACTGTTTTTGCATGACATGTAGGGTCAGGAGGTTCTTAAAATGGGACTATTGCAGGAAACAAATTGTTATATGCACTGGCGAACACTCCAGAAAATCTCACTTAAGTGCCACTAAATGCTTCCAAGAAAGCTCTTAAATAACTTAAAGAGGTCATAAACTTTTTTCAGTCAATTAGCTATAACTCACTCTGAAAGGCTTATTGTTGAGCAGGCAACTACTTGCAACAGCATATTTCCCATCAGTCTATTAAAACCCACTGTCCATTCACACAGACATTCTGATAGCCAGTCAAAACAGAACTAACAAATCCCAACAGTTGTTTCCAGCTTACAGTACAAAAAGATTAGACATTTCTTGTACATGTGGGTGAAGTGTCTGAGATCTTCTTGCTATACATTCAACTGATTGTTTAACACAGTGGTTATGTAGCGAATTACGTTTACATTCAGTTTACATTACATACATTCAATTTATATTCCGTATCATCACGCGTCAGTACTTTCAATATTTTTCCGCTTGTTTTGATGTTAAAGAATGACAAAGTGTGGCAAAATGTAGAGCCTGGATTTTCATTCAATCACAACAACAACTTCATCATTTTCAGATCATAAATAAAAGCTCTCATCTTCTGCTTATAAACACAAACGTGGTATTGATACAAATTAAAAATCTGCACTTCTGATGGAAATTCTCCTTGTTTCATGAAGTACAGAGTGAGTGCTTTCACATGATAACAGATGCTAAGGCTAAATAGCTGCTTGGACCGGTCTCAGCTGAAGCAGCAGGTGTGAAGAAGGCGTGAAGCGGTCACTCTGCCAGCACAGCCTGCCGTGCGTTTTACACTATAGCAGCGAGAGAGAGAGAGAGAAGCCACTTTACTATGTGTACTCTACTGTCCGCCCGACTGGATTTTAATCAACTGCTGGGTGCTAAGTGAGCATTTAGCCATGCTGCTAAACTCACATGCACAGTCAGCATTTTCTACATAAGTCTAGAAAAACAAACAGTGTACATATGAATATTGTTGTTGTCAGGACAAAACCTTGTATCTCCATCTTGTTCTAGCTGACTGTGCAAATGAGTTTAGCAGGAAACACCAACGTGTGCATATATACACACATTCAATTTACGTGACAATTGTTTAAATATAGTGACGTAATGACATAATTACACTGTTAAATACACAACTATAAAATGAATTACATTTACATTCAATTTACATTTTGTATATATATATATATATATATATATATATATATATATATATATATATATATATATTGGCATAATTTCATAGTTGGTTATCTAATGAATTACATTTACATTCAATTTACAATTATTATCTGCCTATCTATCTTCTTATTAATCAATCAAATGATCAGCCAATCAGTCTGTCTGTCTGTCTATCTATCTAACAACCTATCAAAGAGAGAGAGAGAGAGAGAGAGAGAGAGAGAGGAAAGAGAGAGAGAGAGAACGCTAGCTCATCTCATCAGAAGCACAACTGCATCCTCTCTTTTTGTCATTTAGGCAAAAATCTCTAAATTCTGGGTAAACACTTTTCCGGAAATGTGTTATGACATAAAATCCCTGAGAAAAAAACTCAGAGTAACACTTCCCCACCACTTCACTTGCCCTTCACCCCTTCATCTCCTTTTTCACATCATTTTTTAGCACTCCTTGCTTCCTTCCTTCCTGTCGTCCTATCTCAAACGAGTCAAACTGTCAGGAAAAAATGCTGCTAATTTCATTTTTTACATTCTGATGAAGAAAAACAGGACATTGCACAATGTTATAAAAAGGCTTTAGAACAGCCTTCAGAGCAGCCAACACTTTAAATTCTGCAATAATGGCTTTGTGGAGGAATGCAGGAGCATTAATAAATAATGATAAACAAGAAAGGCCCTCTGAGCCTTGAATGCAACTTGGATTCCTCACTGCTGCTTTCATCGTCACTGATGTCTCAGGCAGTATAGACAGTATACAGTTCTACTTTGCCTTCGTCACGTCAGTGAATTTACTGTTTTGAACTAGCCGCTCGCCGCTAGCCATCTAGGCACCCCCAACACCCTGCCCCCGCCCCCCAACACAAGCTCTTTAACATCCAGTATCTGTTGATACAGAATATGAGCCAGTGTTTGCATTAATGTTGATAATACAGCCATACAGTCCACACTTTAAGTACATTACAATTAATGCCAATCTAATTCAGGTGTCAGATGTTCTAGACTGCAGTTTATTGCAAGGCCCCGTCAACATGGTTTCAAATGTTTAAAATTTTGTTTTAATATTTATAGTTCTGAACAACTGAAATCGAACCAAATTTCAAAAATCTCTTGAAAGAAAACACCAACAGCTATCAGTTCATAGTAAAACATCACAAAATCTACAGAAAATAGATAAAAATCATGAAAATGAGTAGACAGGTCTTTAAAACTGTAAATTCACTATTTTTTGTATTTTGCATAATGTGACACGCTAAACTAATACTTTTTTGCCCTAGAAATTTGCCTACATGTGATGTTTCCAGACTATCCCTTTAAGACACGCTATGCATGTGAAGCGTTCTTATGGCATTTGTTAGCTAGGGTATGTGTGTATGCTGTCATGTGCGTTCACATGGGCAGACGAGAGGGGAGAATAAAGCCCCGAGGCCGTGTCGACGGCGGCTGCTGTGGAATTGACCGTTATGTGTCTGGACGCTTGCCCATACAGAGACACTTCTAAAGCAGCTGCAGCTCACACAGGGCTCCGGCTGCACTGTGCTAGTGTCTAACTGTAGCGCTGACATTTCATACTCATTTAGTTCCACTGAAGAGAAAGAGGCCCCCATTCATAAAACTTCACATTCAAATCCCTCACAGTAACTGTAATAAGTGTTAGCGACTATGTTGTTGCCATCAAATGGGATGTTAGCTTTAAACCCATTTATGTAGGACTGCTTCTGTTTTGTTTGAGTCAGTTTGACTTGAAAGAAAATAGAAAGAATTTCACTTTTCGGGTCTTGTTTTTTTTTTCTATATATTTCTGGAGCACAGGGGGCCTCCAAACACCCTTGTGCCCAGGGGCCTCGCGAGACCATGATCCATCCCTGGTTTTCATTTTCTTAACATTTTCCATTGTTTTATTTTCTATCTTTTTTGTATTATTTTCCTGTATTTTATTTCATTCAATTATTGTATTATCTCATTGTTTTATTTTTAATCACTGGGCTTTACTATCATGCAAGTCTATTTCTTAAACTGTAGCTTTTCATTCCCCCACGACACTCGGTTGCATTGAAAATGAGGATACGCCTCAGTGTAAACCTGAGCTGAAATAAAGAATGCGATAACTTCCAAGCGAATTGCAGAATCAGGGAGCTAGCTGAGTGTTTTCACTCGATGACAGGTGGCAAAACAAGCATTTTGTTTTTAAAATGATATGACAAATAATGCTTAACATGATGAGGGACATCAACTATCACAGGTTAAAAAAGGTCAATTTACATTTCAGGTTGACTTAAATACTATTCAGTAAATAGTCACTGCACTCACTGGCAATTTCCATTTTGTTTCTTTTGTATTTTGTGCTTGATAAACATTAAAACAGTTAAAACAGTTCTACATGTAATAATAAAAACTAAAAAATATTGCACTTATTATTTAAAACAACATTGCCTTCTAGAACAGCGGTGTTCATCTTGTGGGCTGTAGCCCCCAGTGGGCCATGGTGGTACTGCTAGAGAGCTCTTGGCATTCATTTTTTTAATGCATGAGCGATATCACCACGTATTTTCAGTGCAAGTCAAAGGAAGTTTCTTTTTTCGATGATATGGAATTCATTCATCTATATACAAATGGCTACAAACAGGAATTGTTCATGTATTTTTTAGCATTCATTATGGTGCATGATTATACTGAAGAGTGAAATTTGATGGGCTACACTGTGTTATATTTGTCTGCATGACAAACAATCAGGCAAGTTAAATCTTCTTGTGGGCTCTTCCTGTGAAAGCTGTTACGGTGGGTCGCGTGGGTCATGAATTGCAAAAGTTTGGGAACCCCTGTTCTAGACAGTATAAAGTACAGAGTATTTATATTACTGGGAGTACAGTAGTAAAATTTACCTCCATTAGGTTGCTTTACTATACGTGCAGTGCATGTGTTCTGTGTATGAGTGACAGTGCTATTTATCGTTCCATTAGCCGCTAACACACACAGACACACAGCATTGTGTGTAACAGCATGGGTCAGGCGGGGTCACTGCTTTTCTCTTCCTTTCCTGACCAGAGCCATTAACCTCATTCATAATACCGTGTTTGTGTGCAGCAGGACTGTCTTTTAAGCTCCACCTTCAGCTAGAGATGGACATTAAACACTTCTGCTATTCGAATATCCACAGTTTTTTAACAAACTTTATTTCACTTATCCAGTAGAGCATATTTATATACTTGGTCAATGGTCAAATTGGTGTTGCACATAAATACAATATAGCAGCACGCAGAGGAGCATGTTTATTATTCAACAACAGCTGAGGGAAATTGGTAGGTTTTCATGGAGAGGAACATGTTTATTATTCAAAAATATGTTCCTCTGCATGTTGCACATTAGTATAATATAGCAACATGCAGAGGGGCATGTTTATTATTCAAAAATAGCCAAGGGAAATTGGTAGGTTTTCATGGTGACAAGGAATGCACATTTTTGAAAGTCTCCAGTGTCCCTCCATCCACACTTCAACGCCAAACAGCGTTTTCAAATCTATCCAGCTGACAGCGCTTTGAAAAAGATGCATTTTCAGTGTTCAAAAATGCCATTTCAGTGTGGACGGAGGCAGAAACTGTTACTACTTTGGATGAGCTTTCAAAACTGGTAAAATTACAATTCAGCTTAGTGAGTTGTAGCGCACAAATTTGGCGTGCATTATTAATTTTGACTGATTCTTATTTTGCATGTGTAAAAATATGATCATGAAGCTAATCTTCAGCTGCTAAAGCAAGTTAATTTAACATTGAACATGACCATTTACTGTAGCATGGCATTTACATCAGTAAAGTCAAGCTACAAGCAACCTCTGTTGAAGGTCACACTGTTAGGACAGATTGATTGTGGTGTAATTATGAGCGTTTAATGTCTCTAAAAGCTCCCTCACAGAAAGTTAACACATGAAAGTGCTGCTGGATGTCTGAGACAATGTTTCAGGACAGTTTTAAGAATTTTCTTTCAAATATATTCACAGAGGTGCATGCAGGGCACTGTAAGGCAAATTAGTTCTTAAAGAACACTTATTTTTTTCAGATTTAACACTATTATACCATTATCAACATTACATACTGAAACTCAGAAGACACAAGTAGGTACACTGGTGGTTTTGGATAGTAAATAAAATGGCTGTGGTTGAGGAGCAGACGTTGTGACCCCTGGTTCTTATAATCGCCACTGTAAATGTGTAAGTTCACATCCAACCACTCTGAATGGCTTTGATTGCATCTCAAGTAATGAATCATTCAGAAATCTAGCCAAATAGGTGGAATTCCACATAAATATGATAGAAAATCTGCTGATGCTGCTTCCAACCTGCCTAGTTTCAACTACCTACATACAACAGCACAGTTCAGCTTGATAGCATTTTAAACTATAAACTCAATGTAAAGCAGCGCCTCAAAACAAAGAGCGCCATAATTGCTTAGTTTGAATTGGACTTCTGCCATAAAGCTTATCCAATCGCATTTGTGGGCAGAGCGTGGACAGAACAATTATGAGGTGGTCCACCCACACTGTCCTGTTATGGGAAGAGGAAAAGAGAAGGACATACCATGTGGTAGTTCACTATTTCCTGCAGACTCTCGCCACACTTTTCCAGGCATTCCTGCAAGCAGAAAATTGAGAAAACAGTCATTATCTCCAAAAACACCAGAAATGATTTAGATAATGTACATATATCACAAAATGAACTAGAAAATGGCAGCTTTAAACCATGAAACTTGCAAACGCATCACCTAAATTTGCTATTACAACCTTCGCCGAAATTAATAGATATGAATTGCATGCTTGGTGAAGGCAGCACACAATTATTATTATTGATGAACAATTTCAGAAGGAGGAGGTTTGCTGGAAGACATGCACTGTGATAGAGTTCCTGCAACACGCACAGCAGGATCTGGCGAAATGGAAATGTAATAGCAGGTCTGACATTATGTTTTTACAATGGAAAATGCAACTAGCGTGACAGGCTTTAATAAGATCCTTGGCGATAGACAAACAGGCCAGCCAAGACAACCTTTAATACCACTCACAGGCGGCGGCAAACAGTCTGCCTGTACTGGCGCAGAGTTTGAGGAGACTGGAGGATCTTGGCTGTATGTAGGATCTTGGGCCTGATTCTCACTGACTAAAGGCGTGGCAAACTAAAGTCAAGGATGTTAGCAAAGCTAGCAGCACTGCTAGAGAGAAGTATAGAGGGGTATTATAAAACTAATGTTGATGCTAATGTACAGTACTAGTCAACTAGTCGTGGTTAAAGGCCTAGGCTCAAATTCATGAAATATGTTACAAAAGCCCTATTTGAGCTGGATTAGTTTTGCCTACGGAGGTGCCGTAATTTGAGTCATGCAAACCCAGTTCGAATCTGTAACGTCCGTAGTTATTACAAGTCTGCTAAGCAATAATTCAGGATAAATTATCTTCTACAATCAGAGCTCCCTCAGTAACAGTAGTCCTGTTTGAATCGACATCACAGTAATGTAATAACAATACTGGGTAATAGAAAATGGTTCCTCCATCTTTTTGCTTTTTTTTAAGCTGAAGACAGGGGCTACAAGGAGGGGGAAAATGAAACATGCAGGGCAAAGCATTTTCTGTCTTGTTGGGCAGCATTTGGTAAACTGAATGAAGCCACTTTACTAGCCTAATGCTAGTCTATCTTCCTTTTAGCCACAGAACAGGCTGTTAGTGTTTGGAGGCAAGGCACCTGTCACATAATGCTGACATAAACCTCCACGAGATGATAATAATGTGGGTAATGTAATGAGTGTAATGTGGGGAAATTACACAGATCCTTTATCCTGTATGAATTGGCCAGTCAAGTCACGCACAAATTACATCACTGGACCTCCTCTTGTAAACATACCCAGCTCAAATAGGACTTTAGGCAAACATAAATAGTGATTTTTTTAAATGCCCCCCAAGAAGTAGCAGCTAATGAGGTCTGAATGTATGTGTATCTTCTTCAGTCCTGTATCTTCTTCAGTCCTGTTGGAAAAGTGTCCCGGGTGGCTTCTTATGAAGCTGACTGAGAGAATGCCAAGAATGTAGAAAGCTGCATCGAGTTAAAAGTCAACAAATAATCGCCTGTTATGTCACATTTTCAGTATCTTCATTATTGTTCTAAAATGTAAAAAATAGTAAAAATAAGAAAACATCTATGAGCACACTGTGACAAAATAAACGGTCTGCCTCTTTTTCAGCTGTACAATAGGGTAGTTAAAAAGGAATTCCACCCATTCTTCAAGATTTCTGCAAAATTAAATTAAATTAAATTAAAAATTATTATTGTAAACAGTAATTCAGAGTGGTTTGAAGTGAAATGCTTTATTTCTAGAGAACTTTACAGAATCACTCTCATTGAAACATAGTCTAGCAATAGTTTTGAGATTAGTTTTTGAGGCCTAAAACGTATGGCAGAGACGTACATGCAGGGCACTGTGTGGCAATATAGGCCCCAAGGAAAACTTTTGTTAGACTTACTCATAAGATGTGTAGGTTAGTAAATAAAATGGTTATATTGTGTTAAAGATATTGCGACTCCTGGTTCCTATCACCATCACTGTAAAGAAACCTGATTCTGCAATTAACCATTTCAGAACCAACCACTCTGAATGACACTTCAACCAATGGATTATGCAGAAATTTGGAAAACAAAAAGGCAGAATTACCCATTACAATATGAGAAGAGAAACTAAGCTACTTAAACATCATATTATTTATTTTAAACAGAATCCACATTTAACTGACAGATGCTATTTAGCACGATTTAATTCAATATAATTTCACCTTTTACAGTGTTAGAGTATCCAGAGACTTTTGACTGGCACTGTACATCACCGAACACACACACACACACACACACACACACACACACTCACCGATATCATTTCGTCCTTCTTGCACTGCTGAGACAAGTCTCGAATGCCATTGACAAAAAGCTTGTTGGCGCTGACGTACGCCTTCCCCGCTTCAATCATTCCACTGCATAGCTTCACCAGCTACAAGGAGAGAGAGAGAGGGAGAAGAGAGAGGTTAATACTCCACAGTGATCCAATTTGCACATTGATGCAAAAATGATCTTTATCATCTTTCAGCATCTTTTGAACACAGACTGAAAATTCTGACAAAATACAACCTGTGTGTCCAGACTTTGCCTTTATTACAGCTTCCTTTCTTTTCAGAAGACTTGCTTTCAGTTTTTCAAAGAAATCTACAGGGATATCTGGTGATAAGAACCAGATGTCTGAATGTCCTTGAAGCTCCCTCACAGAAAACGATTGCACGAAATGGTTTGAGCTGGTCTGAGAAATTGTTTTACCATAGTTTTGCAGAAGGACACTGGCCTAAAATGTATCTTTTAAAATCCATTCATGGCAGAGAGGTAAATGCAGTTGTGAGGCAAAACAGTTCCCAAAGAAAACATTTTTTCAGATTTACCACTATTTTAGCACCAACATTACATCTGAAAACTGAACACGTGAAGGTTCACTGACAGCTTTGGACAGGAAATAAAGTGGCTACATTTGCATTGTGGGCGGCACGGTGGCACAGTCGCCTCGCAGCAAGAAGGGCCTGGGTTCGATTCCCTGGGCGGGAGACCAGGATCCTTTCTGTGTGGAGTTCGCATGTTCTCCCCAAGTCTGCGTGGGTTTCCTCCCACAGTCCAAAGACATGCAGTCAGGCTAACTGGACACACTAAATTGCCCCTAGGTGTGAGTGTGTGTGTGCATGTGTATGTCTGTCTGTATGTCTGCCCTGCGATGGACTGGTGACCTATCCAGGATGTGTCCTGCCTTTCACCCAATGACTGCTGGGATAGGCTCCAGCTCCCCCCGCGACCCGACCCAGAAAGATAAGCGGCTTAGAAAATGTGTGCGTGTGCGTTATTACAATTTCTACTGGTGTTATTTATTTTAAATACTTATTTATAATTTTATTACATTATTGTCTTTATATTGTTTTCTACTTGATTTTTTTTACCCCTTTTAGTTGTTTTATTTATTTATTCTTATTATGAATGTGCCTAATTGTTTTATTTGACTGCTTTGATTTGTTAATGTTATTTGTCGTATGTAATTATGTTTTAATAACTCTCTTTTTGGTCTTATTTATTTTCTTTATTATGCTTTTACTATCACAAATTTATATTCACTCTTTTCAGTTCCTTATTTTTTTGTATAACAAATGACTTGAAATGAATGAAATGAATGAAACGAAATATATCTCACAGAACTATGTTGAAATTCCCCATTTAAGTACAGTTCATTTGATGGTGACAGCTTTGGTGGTCTATCAGGTCTTGCACACTTGTTAGAATTCCCATTTTTTGAACTTTGAACAGCTTTGGAAACTCTCATTTTTTTCTCTTATTTTCTTTTCACTTTCCAGTTCCTTATGCAAGTGGATTATCTTATACATAACATCTCCTGAAAAACTGGAAATTAAATAAATGAAGGGTGGTCTCTGACATTTGCACAGCACTGTACATGCATACACACAAATGTACATGCATGCGACAGGTGCCATTTCATCTGCATTAGAACTCTTTTCACTAATGTACCAATTAAGTTCCCATATGTAAGGGCCACAGTAACAGTTTCCCACTTTCTCCACATGCCACTAACCCACAGTCTTTACACAGCGGCGTCTCATGTGGCTGCATGTTTGTTTTATGACCTCAATTATCACCCTGGGTCCCGGGTGTGTGTGAGACACATTCTCAGGTGGTCCGCATGTGTGAGACTGTAAGCGTGCAGCGGTCGTCACTCTCTGGAGCCTGAGCTGTGGCCTACATTGTTACACATCTAACTCAAACCAGAGCTCCAGAGCGTTTTGATTTGCACTGCTTATTTCTCTCGTTCTGTTTCTTTTGTTTTCGGCTTTTTGGATCCTTTCTTCTTTCCTCTCTCACTCTGCACTTGGTTCTAATCATGTTCGCTTGCACCGTGGCACAGCATGCTGGAGCCCAGCGAAAATTCTCAGCCAGGGAAAGTCGACTCACTTTATTTCTCACACTTTGGTCCAAGACCCCTGACGCAAAAAGCGCCTGTTTCATTCAGTGGCTGAGCGGAACCAGACAGACCTCCCTGAGCGCGATCAGCAAGCAGCAGATTGCATTGCTGCATCTAGGGCTGCACAATATGGACAAAATATCACATTTCAATTCAACTGCTATTATTATTGCAATTGTGATTTCACATCCAATATATTACAAATACATTCCTGAACCATGATGACAGGCCTGAGCACAGAGGATTTGTGGAAAAAGGGGAAACATGAACACTAATTCATTTAATTTATAATATACTGCAATCATGAGAGAATCAGTGTATTCATGTATCAGATCAGTAATGAACTATGACTATCAAAGCTAGGCCTTCAGTTCAGGCCTTCAGTGTTAAAACTCAGTCAGAAAAGAGAAAAAATGCCTCTTCAAAAATTTATTCTGTTAAAAATTCTTCAAAAATAATAAAAATAATTTCTGTTAGCACCCCTATGGGATTCCAGTAGTATATTAGCTGCTAAGCTAGCATTGATTCACAAAAATATTTTTTGGCTCTTCTGGATTAAACACAGACATCTGAAGCTTGTAAAAGATATTCCATGATTTATCTGAATCTTGTGACAGACATATTCATAACCACTGTCCACATGATGTAAAAGAAAACAGTACCTATTGGGCCAGATGACCTTTTTTCCTTGCTCCAAGGTCCAGCTCAAATGCTTGTGTACCCATTGTAGGCACTTTTGACTGTGGACAGGGGTTAGCATGGGCAATCTGACAGTCTTTGTACCCTTACGCAACGATGGGCCTTGGGCAGCCAAGACCCTATTGATGGTTCATGGTTTGTCCCCCTCAGGCCACTGTTGGCAGGTGCTCACCAATGCTGACCGGGAGCACCATACACCTTGCTGTTTCGGAGATGCTCTGACCCAGTCATCTGGCCATAATAATCTGGCCCTTGTAAAAGTCACTCAGGTCTACATGCCTGCCTATTTCCTCTGCATCCAACACATCGCCTACAAGAAACAACTGTTCGCTTACCATCTAATATATCCCAGATCTTGACATGCACTGTTGTTACGGGACATTATTCATAATATTTTGGCTTATTAGTGTGTACCTTAACAAAATAAAATGTATTTATTTCACACCAAAAAAGAAAAAAATCCCAGTGTATTTATAAAATTATTATCTATATTTCATTACTGGTCCTAACTTTTGATTGGTACTGTATGCTTGTTTGTAAAACCTAAAAAAACAAAAACCTACATCACAATGGATTTGACGCTAACTGATTAAAACCAGAAGTGCAGAGCAGACTTTAACTTTGTGCTGTTGCCTTGGTTACAAATCAAGATGATGGTAAACACAAGAAAGGAAGAGGAGTGCAATCTCAATCCTGCTTGCTGTTGTCTTTTTTTGCCTGATCTAATTGTCCAGTGTTGTAATTACATAAGCCATAAGCCACATGTGGAAACCAACTCAGAGTCCAAAACAACAACAACCAATAAAGAACCTGAGACTGAGCACAGAAGCTCGCTTCAAAGTGGCACAAAGAATGTGAATGAGCCAAAAACATTCATCTGAGACATAAAGGCATGTATATAAAATAAACCACTACACAATGCTTTGCACTGTGTTTGCTAATAAAGCCACATGAAGAGGAGAGGACAGATATGAGGTGGTACAGGGTGATGTATGTGGATCAGTTATGAAACCTCATTACAATTCAAAGACTGAGAGAATCTGAAATCAAAATATAAATATTTCAAAACGTAGTTATAACTGGAGAACGATGCATCCGAGATGAAAAAGACACTGTAATGTTAAATTCTTAATGAAAGTCATTAGTAAAAACTCTAAGTACCCTATAAACGGCTCATTAAACATTTTCAAGTAGTCAAACTTGTGCTACCATTCAAAAGTTTGGAATCAACACTTTCAATAATATAAAATCATCCCAATGCAAATAAAAAAAATATAAAATGACTGTAATATGCGCTGTGCTAATTCTTTACAAGATTCGACCTATTCTCGGAAGATTGCAAGTTCAATGCCTGATGATGCCGCAGCGATCTGTGGCTGGGAGTCCAAGACAGAATGACTGACCTCACTCTCTCTAGGAGGGTAGGATGACCCTCAATCTCCCCAAATCATTCAGCATGATGCTAGAAAAACATGGCTGCTCTCTTAAAAGTCTGTTGAGCTGACTAATAACACTGAGTGAGCAGCAGTTTGAAAAAATGCAGTAGTGCTTTACGTGTCTCGGAGGAAGCTCATGCTACCCTTCATCCTAGCTAGCAGGTGGGAATAGGCAACAGCAAAATTGTGGAGAACAATGAAATTTTGGACACATACAGAACAATGCCCATGAAGGGTGCATGGCATTAAAACATGATTATAATTCTAATAAAATCATTTAAAAAAGAAACAAATCATCATAAAATAATAGTACAATTCTAACATTATAGCAAAATTAATACGAGGAACGCTTCAGGCAGAAAACTTCACTGTAATTAGATATTTACATTATAATATCTATCATTTTATAACTTTTTATTGATCCTAAACATGAGAAATATTAGATACAGCATCTAAAATATCTTATAGTGTCTAGTTTACCACACTCAAACTACACTGCAAAAGTTATTGTCAGGGTTGTATGTTTTTTGTTGATTTTCTAAATAAAAATAAGTTCACACATCCTCTACAGAGAACATACTTCTCCACACTTTAATCCACAGTTACTGTTTATTTGCTGAATTTAACATACTAGGATAAAAATAAAACATAAAATGTAGCCTGTCCATCATTACATTTTTATTTAAATAAAGCTGGTTCCCTGTAGAGGACGTTTTCTAATTTGTGTATAAGCCTGAATGAATGACTGAAGAACTCTACTTATAGCCTTCAGACATGGCACGTTTACCTGGCTCCAGCATGCACTGGCATCAGTAATAAGTACGTCTGCTCTAAATGTGATCTGGAAAAAATGGGAGTGGAAAAGGAGGAGCAGGAGGAGGAGTAATCCAGATTGACGGCTGTCACTCAAGGTTACCGGGAACAGATGGGCCAGTGACATCACGAGCATTAGTGAGGCATCTGCTCTCTTGATTCTAGGCTAACAACGTGCTCAGACACCACAGAGCCACTTACTGAGCTCTAATGGACACTCTGTTCTCCACACGGCAGGTATCAACATTAAAAAACCCCAAATTTAGTGAACACTAGGCATCAGGATTGATTAATATTGTGGCTTTATTAGAAGTATGTAAAGCACAATAAATACAGCAGGGATGCTTATATGGAATTTCTGGGCTAATAATGTGGTCGATATGAAGTGCAGTTAGTGTTAATACAAGTTAAAATTCTAAAGATGATGATGCTAGCTACCTCATATTTTTAGGCTATCTATATCAGTGCTTTCTCAGGGACCCCTAAATTTTTGCTCTATCCCAAGGTGCTTCGAGCTGTGGACCTTCTGGGGGTCCCTGAGGACTGGTTTGAAAACCATTGATCTAGATCACTGGAATGATGAGTTCTTCAGGGTAATAAAGCAGAGATGCTCAAAGTGAGGATGCACCAACACAGAATTCTTAAACGACAACAAATATTTGTATATAAGATATCCATATTTCTTTAAAAAAGCCATTTTAGATGCTCAAGTAAACGTATATTTGTAAGTTTACAGTGACTTATTATTCTGGGATGTCCCTTCGCTTTTCAGCATGTGCATCTTTTTAATAAGTGGTTATTATGAAAGATTTTTACGGTGGAAAATAGCAAAAACAAAAAAGAACCTTCCCTAAATAAACCTATGTCAATATTGCTCTATAACACTAGCCCTGCAGGCCAGCAAAAGTGGTGCTAAATGCTGTTTCACGTCTGAATTTTTTCAAAGACGGAAGGAAATTTGACTGAAGAGCCAACTTTAGCTTCATCGAGTCTCTCAAGTTATTTGTCTCAGATGTGTGTCCCATATACTCGTGCCAGGCAGCTTCTTAGACAGTATGAAAGGAAATAGAGGCACTGTAATCTACGTTGCCGTGTTGCGGGTTAAAATTCTAATATGAAGCAGCTAGCTGCTAACGCTTGCTCCTTCACGTTTCTTTAGGCTATACAGATTAGTGGAATTATTTTATGTCTGTTTTCAACTGACAGACTACCAGAGTACATAAGCAAAAAAATGGGATGTTTTAGCTGTAATTATCTACTGTAATTTTAATATTGGACTGAAGATAATAATCACATTTTACCCAGTTTATCCAACACTCCAAAGCAATTCAAACAGCCAAGCTAAATAAACAAATGTATGTGTGTATACCAGAGTGAATTCACTCAGCTCTATTAGTCAGCTTTACATCAGTTGAAGAAGATTACCATCACCATTCACTAATACAGAAGCCTCTAATTGCGTAGCTGCCTTGCACTACAGTCACACAGGCACATTAAGCCACTAGCACATCCTGCATATGGTTGATCAAGCTCTCATATGCTTTCTAATTAGAATACAGTAAGCAGGATAGTAGCTTATAGAAGTACTTTTGTGCTGTAATTACAGTTCTGTTTAAACAGACGTGAACTCATGATTACTGGCAGCATCTGGTAGCAAACGGTCCTGAAAAATACACTCTGGACATATAAACATGTATTGTTCCAATAGTGTTTGGAAAGAATTAGCAAGAAAATTAACATTGGCGCATACCATAAGCCAAAAAGCAGAGCATGAAACTGACAAAGCCAAAGTAAGTATGTCTTACCTTGTCTAGCTTAGCTTCAATCTCCACCACTTCTGTCTCCACCTCATCAATGTTCGCCCTGAAAAGCACAAAACATGATCAAGTTATGGCGCCAGTCCTGCTAAACACAAAACTTTAAATAACGTTTTTCTCTTTTAAAGTATATATTTCCCATATTGATACAATATATATTACAATAACACAATTATTGCCAAAAGTGAGGACATTAAAACATAAAAGTGTGACTTTTTAAGTGTGTTAGTCCTTAAAACCTGTAGTCACTAGCTTTTTATAATAAAGAAAAAAGAGGGGTAAACTGAGGCAACCTTAGCTGCCAGTGGTAAGTGTTTAAATAACAGCAAATTTATGGTTTTTTCATTAGGCCACAGCACAAATTCAGTGTCTTTCTAAACTGATCTTATCTTTGACACTAGTATGATGTAATCTATTTTTTATGTTGTTTACAGGATGAAGTTGTCAGTTAAGAGTCACAGACGGCTGTGAGGACAAAGAATCAGCATGACCTAGAGGTTACAGCACCATTACATTTAGAGAAAGGACAGCAGTGAAGGCGTTCTTGTGGGAAAACAGTTAACCTCTAGTCTTTGCTTGTCACAAAAACTGCATTTTTGTCAATAACCCTGGCATATAGATTTGAATTAAATTAGATTAAATCATCAGCTGTACCCAGAATCATTTTGAATGCAAGATGGAACTGCTTTGCTAGATGAGGAATGTACATGTGCAAGAACAGAGAACAGAAATCACAGCCTGGCTAATTTGCTTCTAGTATTTGCTTAAGCCAATGTTGGGTTACTGGCTGACCAAAAGGCAAAAGAGGCAATATTTCCATAGGCAGTTTTGAACTTACAGTATTTTAAAACTCAAGACGTTTGGTCTTCTGGTAGAAGAAGATTAGTGTATGAAAAATGAAATATGAGATCCTAAACCCAGGCTAACATTTGGGCACTGTTCTGAAAAAAGACCCAAAAGTCAAGAAGAAATTTACAGCCATTCCATCAATTTTTCCAAAAGAGACTGAGCCTTCCAATCCTTTAAAATGAAACCCAGTTTTCCTCTTACTTCAAAGGTACCCAGTTAGCCAGAATATGTTCTTCTTTTGTTTGCTATTCTTTTGTACCGGAACTGTGAAGTAATATAGCTAACAAGTAATGGAAGATTTTGGCCTAAAAAAACAGAGGCAAAATTCTGACCCATCTGAATCTGTGCCCATTCAGTCAAAAGAGCATTTGTAAGGTCAGGCACTGATGGTGGACGAGAAGGCCTGGTTTGCAATCAATGGTTTCCAATTCATCCCAAAGGTGTTCACTGGGGTTAAGGTCAGGGCTCCGGGAAGGACACTGAGTTCCTCCACACCAAACTTATCAAGTCATGTCTTTACGGACCTCGCTTTGTGCACAGGAGTACACTCATTCTGGAACAGGAAAGGGCCTTCCCTAACTTGTTGCCACACTGTTAGAAGCATTCATTTGTCTAATGTCTTTGTTTGCTGTTGCATTATCTTTAACCTTCCCTGAAACTAAGGGGCCAAGACTAAACCCTGAAAAACAGCCCCAGACCATTATCCCTCCTCCACCAAACTTTACAGTTGGCAGAATGCATTCAGGTAGGTAGTGTTCTCCTGGTATCCGCCAAACCCAGATCCATTCATCAGACTGACAGACAGTGAAGCATGATTCATCACGACAAGTTTCCACTGAACCAGTGGCAGCGTGCGTAGCTTTGCATATAGTGATCTTTGCCTGTGTGCAGCTTCTCAGCCATGGAAACCCATCTCATGAAGCTCCCGACACACAGTTCTTGTTGCTTCCAGAGGCAGTTTGGAACGGGTAGTGAGTGATGCAACAGGGGATAGAAGAGTTTTACGTGCTATAGCTCTTAACTGCACAATAATAGCCCAGGCCAGATCCACAAGGGCAAACATTTCACAAACTGACTTGTGGCAAAGGTGGCATCCTATGACAATGCCATGTTTAAAGTCACTTTGTCTCTTGCATGTTTGTCTATGGAGATTGCATGGCTATGTGCTTGATTTTACACCTTTTAGCAATACGTGTGGCCGAAATATCTGAACTCAGTTATCAGGAGGGGTGTCCCTAGACATTTGATCATATAGTGTAGGTTTAAAAAAGAAGAAAATCACTCTTTCTGCAGGAGGATTGAGCTCCATGTCTCTCCTCCTGTTCAGAGACAGCAGCCAAGCATAAATCTGAGTTTGGCATAGAGAGGCTGAAAATATGGCTGAGACGCACCCACTGAGAGACTCATCACAACACTGTCTGGCAGCTAATGCAGCAATCTGTGTGTGAGTGAGGTTCAGGCACTAGTGTGTGTATTTTTTACCAGTGGGGTGATGAGTGATGAGGACGGCGGCTGCCAGTAATTTGACACAGACAAAACAGAGAGAAAAGAGGCTAACCGCAGTGTATGGCTAACCCACCCTAATACAGCCAGACCACCACACCCACCCACGGCCAGTGGCAAACCTCCATGTCTGTGTGCCAGACGAGAGCGGGAGACTGTCTGTCAGAATGGAGGCGTGAGGGAGTTTGTTTAGAAATGCGTGTTTGATGGAATGTGGGCCCCTACATTCCCAGCCAATGGAAATTAAGAGTTTTGCAGATACTGCATTAAATCATTAAATTATGATATTATGTTTTACAATTGCAAATACACAGCTTTGATCCCATCATCAATATTTATTTCAGGGCTGTCAAGATTAACCTATTAAACTCAATTCCTCTCTTAAAATCTTCTCTTCTGCTTTTCATCTTCTTCTGAATCAGCACTTGTTAGCTGGCATGATTATAATGCATATTTAAAATTCTAATTAAAATTAACTATACTGTACAAATGTCTGAGCCAATCTTTCATTTTTATCATTTCCAGTCAAAACGAGCATTAAGTACAAGTGATTCATTTTTTATCAGCATTTAATCGGTTCATGCTTTCATTTTGTGAACGCTGCTGCTACTCTAACTCTTTAAAGAGATGCTAACCTTCAAAGTAACTACCCTAACTCACCTCAGCTGCCGTTCAAAATGGCCAGTTTCTGAGGAGATTAGGTATAAGATAACCCACTTGCATAAGAAAGGAGAAATTTAAAGTAAAAATGACTGAAACTGGAGTTAAGATATAAAGAAAATGGGACCTGGAACAGAAAACTGTCCCCAACAGATAAACAGTATTTAAAGCTTTCATCTATGAGAGAGAGGAGAAAATCAAGCTCCACTCTTGCTTCAGATCTGAAAAAATCCACAGGTGTTTCTGTCCATCCTTCCACTGTGAGAAGATAACTCAACACTATGAGTCTGAAAGGATGTGTAGCTGAGAAGAAGCCCTTACCGAGAAAAGGAAAAAAAAAGGAAGAACATTTGCAAATCAAACAAAGAAGCTGCTGGTGGTCTCAGAACAATAGACTGACCACTCCAGAGTCCAGACCTTAACATCACTGTTTGGGACTATTTCGATCAAGAGAAAACGAGACCAACTTCTAAGACTGAAAAATAAAAATATCCCTGCAGGTTTCTTTGAAAAACTGAAAGCAAGTCTCCCAAAAAGAATGGAAGCTGTAATAAAGGCAAAGCACTGACAAACTAAATACTGAAAAATCTCTTATTATATTTAGCTGTTGAGGCCTCTGTCTAATTTTCGGATGCTGAAAAACAACTTATACTAACGTACAACTTGCTTGACCGTTTTGCAAGTATCAGCTTAACGTGAACGCATGTTTCTGTGGAAGTCACTCTTTTCCCAGTCATAAAGACAGATAAACCTTTCACATACAAGCATTTACTTTTTCTCTAGCATAACTGCTAAAATGTCCCAGCATATTAAGCGGCATGCAGAAGTTTGGGCACCCCTGGTCAAAAGACATATTGCTTTTTTAAGCGAAAATAAGTTAACACTTCTCTACAGAGAACACACTTCTGCACATTTTAATGCACAAGTACTGTTTATTTGCTGAATGTGACATGAAAAAAAACATAAAATGTAGCCTGTGCAGAAGTTATGGCATATTTTACATTGTATGTTTTATTTTTTCCAATGTGTTAAACTCAGCAAGTAAGCAGAATTTGTGCACTATAAATAATAGAAAAATGTGATATTTAAGCGTCTGTAGAGGATGTGTTACTTATTTTCACTTAGAAAATGAACAAAACATGTAATCAGACCAGAGGTGTTCAAATCTCTACCTTGTATTCATGTAATATCATCATTTCCACAAGAATAAGCTCCCATTACTGGTTGACTACATTTGGGTTAAGGGGTAAACTGGGACATCGCTACAGAACTATACTTTAAAATCATGTATATGTCAAATTTAAAGAATGGAGCACTTGAAGTTACATCATCAACACTTAAATAAGATGAAACTGTGTTGATGTATTTCATTCACATTGATATGATGCACACAGTTGAATCAAGTGAATTTACTACATCAGCGAGCTCAGACTGCAATAGCTGTGAATAGAAACTTGTATATTGCTTTGTAGACAGTTAGCATGAAAGCTGCTAGCCTTGCAGATGTGCTTCCTGAGCAGAAAGGCTCTGGCTTGGAGGACAGCTGCTCTCCTGGACCCCCAGGCACTCTCTCTCTTTCTCTGTCTCTCTCTCTAGCCATCCCAGTTCATTGCACATGACACTCCCAGGACGGACGCAAGTTGGCCGCCGGCTCGTATCCATGGCAACCATTGCTGGGGCGGGGGGTAAGACCCCTCTCCCAGAGCACAGCTCTGTCTGCCTTGCCTGTCTTGTCTGAATGCCGCTGCTAGCAATGTTAGCCTTGTAGTCAGACTCGCTGTACGGCCACTGCTATCATTAGACCACCGATAGCGATGAAGCACGAGTTACTCACTGTACAGCTATGATGTCATCTTCCTTTTCCCCGTAAAGACACTACTGATGATTCAGACATGCAATCAAATGGAGCGCAATGGGGCTTCGGATGTTAACATAAAAGAAAATGCAGATTTGAGTAATAACAGAAAACATCTGACTTAAAAAACAATAAACTGAAGGCAGAGTAGAAGAGGCTGAAGCTACTTTGATGCTTTT